TGAACGACTGCGGCTGAAAGGCTGCGGTGGCGTTGAAGTGGTGGGTGTCATACGTATAGTAATCTCCGTAAACCAATATATGTAAGTTCTTATGGTTGGCGTCGAAAGCGTTTTCAATGAGTTCATGGAATTCAATCAAAGGATACAATTCACTCGATTTCATCGACAATTCTGTGATTAAAAATAAATAGTTTTTTGTTTCATAATTATAAAACTTTTAATGGTTTGTTCACTAAATGGATATGTTTTTAATCGTCGGTTTAAAATAATTTTTTGTTTTGTTTGATCGCAAATATTGATAATTACGGAGTAAGACATGGTTTGTGAGATTGAGTTCGTCGTCGTGTTCTACCAAATGGTCGGACAGATAACTGAAACCAAGTGAGAACTTGTGGTCGAACTCCAAGTGCTGGTGGCTCTCGAGGTCTGGGACACAGAACTCGCGGTCGTGTCCTTCTGTTTGTTGCACTTTCCAGAAGTCTTTCCCAATGAAGAGGTAGTGTTCAAAAGTGAACGGCTCTTCGCCCACATATGTTGTCGTGAATCCCAACTTAAATATGCCGTCGTTTTTGGCCAAAGCTCTGAACATATTAATTGAGCCAAACTTTTTCTGTTTGCTGTCCACACATATAGACAGCAATGCTTTAAATAAGACATTAGTTTGTTATTAAACTTCATTTATTATGACCCAAACTTACAGAATATTATACACGATTTGAAAAACATTGTTATTGAATACTTGATTACAATTGATTTAATTTTTTGCAAATATATGAGTTGAAATTATTTTTGTTTATAATTTTAAAATATAAATGCGTTTAAATTTTAATGAAACCTAATATTTATGTATTTTCTAATTAATTTATTCTTATAACACGTCTTATAAGAAAATACTTAAAATATAAAATTTTCATTTCATTTCTTTACTTTTCAATACAATTTGTCGTTGATTTTTAAGTCTCATAAGAATAATAAAAATTTATTACAAATATTATTTATTATCACCAAAAATGAAAATATTTGCATAAAAACAATAATGAAATGGAGTTTGTTTTACAAAAGCAATTATAAGAATTTTGAGTAAAATAACGGCAACTAATTATAATTAATTAAATCCATTGAGTCGAGTGATACGGCAAACGCCATCACATATTATAACTATAAAGTAAAACAAACATAACATTAAATTAAATAATACTGAAACACAAATAGATGTTAACAAACAAAAACAAATACCTCATCCCTTTCATACGGACATCTCAACAATTGCTTCAAA